AGGGCGAGCCGCCCGCGCCCCCGCCGCAGTGGCGCGAAGGTTTGATCAAATATTAAATAACGTAATTATTGCGACAAGGCTTATCTCGCAGGTGGAAAAGAGGCCCCCGTGAGAATTAGATTTTGGATGCAATTTAAAAAAAAAATCAATTAAGCTCGCCGTCTCCTTTGAAACAGCCCTGGAGGATTGTGTGGCTCCCTTCCCGGGGCTAAGACTGCGGCCGCAATAACATCGATGGCAGAAGTTTGTCAATAATAATTGTGGTCGTTGCCTTTATTAGCGCTTTGGACCCCAAAGCTATTAGAATTGGTTTGGGGAACACTGGTTTTAGCCAGGGACAGGGCCCCAGTTTCAACTTCGCGACCTAAACTATGAAAGCCCACGAACCCGGACAGGCAGGGCAGGGGTACGTACTTCCTGCAGGGAGGCGGGACAGGCCGGACAGGGCTGCAGCCCGGGGCTGACCAGAGTGTCCTCCGGCCTTGGGTGCCGCGTGTGGGAACAGGTCCCAAGTAGTCTAAATATCACAGGACAGTAAAAATCGATACAGTCACGGCAGTGGGTGCCTACGGTTTATTTATGAGAGTACAATCGAAGTTGAGAGCAATTTCAGAACACGCATTAAACAAAAATCTATTCAGAAGTTAGTTGATGGATTTTGAGGACATCGTTTCTTAGACCTAAAGAAGGAGCAGGACCCAGTGCGAGGCTGGGGAAAAGAGACAATTTAAAACGAATGCGTGGTATGAATGTGGCAGACGCATTTTAATGCTTTTCTTTTGCTTTTTCTACTCTGCCGCCTGGGTTTCCTCAGAAGCTGAAAAGCAAACGGAGCCCACTTTTGCTCCCTTCTCAAACTTATTTTGAGCTTATTCTTTAAAAGAACGCCGAGTCATACATTTCCACCCACTGACAGACACGAAATTCCTCTTAGCCTGAAGTTCAGCTCTTCAGAACCAGAGAACTTTGAGAGGCCAAACTATGGCTGAGTGCCAGGCTTCTGCGTTCTCTTCAGAAGGACATTTTTGTTTGTTTCTCCATGTTTGACAGTTAAAGGTATTTTAAATGGTCTTATTATTTTTTCCAGCCGTATACAGATTCACTCATCAAAAAGCAAAACATTTTTTATTTTGCACAGTTTCCTACTGTGTAAAATAGGAAACTCTGCAAAACGTGGGTTTTCATGATGTTTTATTAACATAAGTCTTCTCTTGTTAAGGATTTTAATACAAAACAAATGCTTAAATTTTTAATATATACATTATCCATTATTATATAATACAAATGTATTTGCCTGCAACATTTCTGTTTGGGCAGATTTAAAAGAAAAACCTTTGTAAATATTTTCATTTGTTCATTCCTTGTTCTCCAACAATCAAATCTGGTCATACTTTTCTATAAAATAATGTGGTTTTTTTTTACAAATGCATTTTATTAGAAACTTACATGATAATTCAAGTCAGTAACAACAGAAACAAATCAATTTTGATGGACGAGATCTATTTTTAAAAATATCTAGTGCTTTTTAAAACATTAACAACTGTTTAAAATCACAGCTTTTAAAATGTACTATTTTTGAATATCAAGTGTTTTGCTTCACAGATTTGCCGGTGAAAGTAAAGAGATTTAGCTAAAATAGGATGACTTCAGAAGATATACTCCCAGCTATTAAGAAACTTTGTACATTTGGCATCTGATCTAGTCCCAGTCACCAAGAAATAGAGAATTTCTAGTCACTTTGGAGCAATAGGCAGCACACTGAATGTTCCAAATGAACAGAAACATTTGACAAGGTCTGTGGATAGATCAGTAGACGATTTTTAAGTTTATTAACCTTCAAAGAAAAGTCATTTAGTTACAACATTTTTAGAAATTTTTTAGGCTAGAACAGCACATATAAACTCCCCAAATGTCACTGTCCCTGACCCTCAAATGTTTTTTTTTTTTTGGGGGGGGGGGCCTGGTTCTTTATTATCCACCAGTGTCTGCAATTAAAAAAAAAAAACTTTGATAAACACAGCTAATATAGAATTCATTTTATTTAGAGCACCACTTTTCATGAGTTATCTAAAAGTGAATTCTAATTCAGCAAAAAATCCTTTTCTTTGATCCACCTTTCACATCCTCCCCATCTACCCCCTTTTTTGTTTTTGTTTGGTTAGGTTATCTGGTTGAAATGTCTCATTTGCTCAACCACTCTACCAAGACTTGGCCCAAGATAAACACAAAAATGCACCCAAGTCATAAACTGCTATTCTTTCAGTTATGTTTTATTTGTAAGTGTACTGGGACACATCCCTCTCTTGTATTGTGGGGCACAGAAGTGATTCTGATAGAAGTGGGAGACAAGGAAGGTAACAGAGTGGAGACATAACCAAAGAGAAAGCTCAGTAGACACACATGGACAGGTAGATCAACCCGTGAGACGTTTCAGGATTAACACTGGCAGTTTGTAACCACTGTGTGAATGTGTGCATTAAATAAAATATTTACAATAATCTTCCTTTTTTTCTTTTCCCTCTAAATAGAAGAATATGACAAGAATGTTGTGTTTTCAGTGGACACAGGCAGTAGACTGTGAAATAACACTACCCACAAAAAAACAGTCTACCAGAAAGCTAGCCCAGTTTAGTGCTCAGTTTCAAATGCATAGAATGTTTGCGCTGCAAACAATGATATACAACATAATTAAATAAATAATTCCTAACCAGAGTGAGACCTAATTGTTTCTTTCTGCACTTTTCAAGTCATGCATGATATCAGTCTTGTTAAACAGGAAGGTTTTTTTTTCTTTTGCCATTTGTTTTGTGTTAAATTTTTACTTATGGTTAAATGATGGTAATAAACCACCTCCACATGAGATCCAAAGAGTATCTTGTACACAAAGCAGGCATTTTACCTAACCACCTTTAACTGTCTCTCCTTTTTTGATCCATCAGCAGCTTGTAAGTTAACTTGATTATTATTATGAAATACTATACATGATTTTCTATTTGGGAAACTGATAGTGCAAATTAAAGTTCTTGCTACCCAACATTTATCCCCAGTAATAAATGACTCTTGAATAATTATAGCAACAAAAAGGAAACAGTTGTTCTGCCTTCCCCAGGGGAACATGCAGACTTCTTTGAAATAAATGGAGTAGGGGGAGGGCCTTTAAATCTGTCTTCCTCTCTTCTGGGATTTAGGTGATTTTCTCACAGCCAAGTCCTGCCCCAACTGAAAGCAGAAACTTCTCAACATTTCAGTGACTCCATCTTTTCCAAGAGAAGAGGAAAGGGGACCTAGAAGAGCAAGATGAGTCTTATTCAGTGTAGATAGAAAACGGAAGGAAATATCTGTCCTAATATCTTCCAACCCATCAATCTATTTTGAGTCGGTAGGGGAAAAAAGAAACCCAATAAACAGTCTGAGAGAAGCCATTCTGAAAAATAAAGGGCACGCTAAGGCAAAGCCCTGTATGGGGGCGGGGGCCTGTTTAAAAAATAGTCCATTTTCTCTATGCTGTAATTAGATAGGAGCAAAAGAGAACAATCTTGCTATAATTGTTTTATTTTTCTTAGAATAAAATATTTCTTTCGGAGCCCCTAAATTCTTCCTTTTAAACAGCGCAGACTCTCTTCCTAAAGACCCTCAACCAGCCTGGCCCAGGCCTCTGCAGCCAGCGGGCCACTGGGGAACTTAGGTTCCACCTAACTGGGCAGCCCACCTCCCAACCCCACGCCCCTCTCAGCTGCGTCCACACTCGCTGCCCAGCGCAGCCACTGTGGAGCACAGCCACTGGCGCCTCGTTGAAACAGGGAAAACAAATCAAGGAAGATGTGGATAGGGTGGAAATGGGATTTTGAGGGAAAATTTAAACACGAAGACAGAACTAGCTTCGCTGCCCAGAATTTCACCTTCTGGTCTTTTGGTTTTTGACTCGGTTCACGGGTGTAGGGTTGGGGCAGTGGTAATCATGATAGTGCTCTTTTCTCTCTTTCTTGGGGGTAAATGAAGCTGCAGATTATGGCTCCCCGAAGTTAAATTTTTAAAGCATTTTTCTTTGCTTTTGTTTTGTTGTCTTTATTTGTCTAGTTTTTGGTGGTTGGTGAGTTTGATTTTGTACATAGTTCCTTGGTCCCCAGGAGATTTTGATAAATGTCTCTGGTCAAAAACAGTCCATTTCCCAACCCTTCCCACCTCTCCCCCCACCCTGCCCCCAGAACCATCCTGCTCCTCAGAAACCCCAGTCCACTCTCGCTTTCCTTGCCCCTACGCCCTACTCACCTAGACGCTCCCCCCATCTCCCCTGCCATCCTGTCCTTCCTCCACTTCCAGCACTCCTGTCCTCTAGGCCAGGGGACTGCGGGCAGTAAGGGAAGGAAGGGCAGAGTGGGGTGCAGGAAAGAGCAACAGGAGAGGCTTCCCAAACGCAGGCAGGATAACGGACACTCCAAAAGCCAGAGGAAGCAGGCCAGAGGAAAACCCCCCTGAAACGCCCCCTCAGCTCCCGCTCTGCCCCGCCCGGCACCTCCCACCTCCCTCAGTAAGTGGCCGAGAATTTCATCCGCTTCTGCTTCTGTCTCTGGTTGCAAAACCACACCCGCACCACGTTCTTTTTGAGGTCCAGTTTCTCGGCGATGGCGGCAATCTTCTCCGAGGAGGGCCGGGGCTGCACAGCGAAGTAGGCCTCCAGGGAGCGCTTCTCGGGCGCGGCGATGGAAGTCCGCTTGCGTTTCTTCTCGCCGCCGTTGAAGAGCTCAGGCTTGTTCATTTTCTCGCGCTGCGCGCCCTCAGCCTCCTCCAGCCACGCCTGCAGGATGGGCTTGAGCGCGATCATGTTGTTGTGCGAGAGCGTGAGCGACTCGAACCTGCAGATGGTGCTCTGGCTGAGCGAGCCCACGCCCGGGATCTTGAGGTTGGCCAGCGCCGAGCCCACGTCGGCCTGCGTCACGCCCAGCTTGATGCGCCGCTGCTTGAAGCGCTCGGCGAACGCCTC